GGAAAGAGGGAAGGGGGGTGGAGGGTGAGAAGAGATTAACCAAAGAAGTTATATGCATATAAGCATAACCCATGGACACAGTTAATAATGGGGTGAAGGCCTGGGGAGGGGGTGGGAGCGAAGTGGAGGGGGTCAGTTGTGGGGGAAAATGGTATACCTGTAATACTCTCAACAATAAAGATAAATTTAAAAAGTAAAAAAAAATAAAATTAAAAAAAAAAAAAGGATCAAGCAATAAATGCATGAATGAGTGGGTCAAAAAAAAAAAAAAAAAAAAAGGATCATTCAAGAATATTACAAACAATTAAATGCCAACAAATTGGACAGCTTAAAAGAAATGGATAAATTTCTAGAAACATACAACCTTTTAAGACTTAACCAGGAAGAAACAGAAAATCTGAATAGTCCAATTACTAGCAACAAAATTTTAGCAGTAATCAAAATTCTCAACAAACAAAAGTTCAGGACCAGATAGCTTTACAGGTGAATTGTATCAAACATTTAAAGAAGAAATAATTCCTATCCTTCTCAAACTGTTTCAAAAAAATTGAAGAGGAAGGAACACTTCCAAGCTCATTCTACAAGGACAGAATTACCTTGATTCCAAAACCAGACAAGGATACTACAAAGAGAGAGAGAGAGAGAGAGAGAGAGAGAGAATTACAAGAAAATATTCCTGATGAACATCGATGCACAAATTCTTAACAAAATATTAGCAACCCAAATTCAACAATACATTAAAAGGATCATATGCCATGATCAAGTGAGATTTATCCCAGGGAATCAAGGATGGTTCAATATCCTCAAACCAATCAACCTGATATACCACATTAATAAAACCAAGGATAAAAATCATATGATCACCTCAATAGATGCAGAAAAGCATTTGTGAAAATTCAACATCTATTTATGATACAAACTTTTAACAAAGTGAGTATAGAAGGATTATACCCCAACATAATAAAGACTATATATGACAAACCCACAGCTAACCTCATATTCAATGGTGAAAAGCAGAAAGCCTTTCCTCTAATATCAGAGATAAGACAAGGATGCCCACTCTCACCACTTTTATTCAATATAGTATTGTAAGTCCTAGTCATAGCAATCAGACAAGACAGAGCAGGGGGCCTGGCACAGGGTGAGTGAGGTGAGAGGGAAGTGTCTGGGAGGTGATAGTGGAGTTGAGATCTAGGTGGTGTGCCCACAAATCACCTGTAGAGCTTGTCAAAATGCAGCCCAAGAGTGTATGCTCGAACAATCTCCAGAAAACAGTGCTGCTGGTTCCTGGACCACACTTTGAATAGTCAGGCCCTAAAGCTGCACTGTCCAACCCAATTATTAGCCACAGGTAGCGCTTTTAAACTTGGCTATTAGAGTGGAATGAAATTAAAAAAAAAAATTCAGTTCCTCAGTCTCAATAGCCACATTTGAAGTGCCCAGTAGCCCCATGTGGCCAAAGGCTGCTGTGATGGACAGAACAGATATGTATCCATCATCACAGAACACTCTGGATGGTTCTACTCTGAAGCTTGGAGTGGGAGTTAACTAGACAAAGTGGGCAGGAGAGAAAGGCTTCTGGCAGGAGGCACAGACATGCAAATATCCGAAGACAGGAGAGGTGGGTGTCAGAGGAGCTGAAAGGAGGTGGGAGGTGAGGCTGGAGATGGGGCTGGGGACTCCCTAGGAGTGGGATGCCCTCTGGGCTATGCTGAGTCCCTGGTTCAGGGAAACCCCTGAATGATTTGTGGCAGGTTAGGCTCTGCTTGGCCATAGGGGGTTCAGGGAAATGGGTGGATCTTCATTTCTCATCTTGGCCTCACTCGCTTTCCCTCTGCGCCTGGGGTGTTTACCAGCCTGTGGAAAGAGCCCTGGGGCCTCATTTGCAGCATCACTGGCTTTTCCTCTGTTGTGTGTGAGCCCCAGGGCTGTGTCTCCATCAGAACGCAATATTTATGATATGCCTTTCTTCCCTAGGGGCTCCATGTCCAGCCTGGAATCCTGCACCAGCCGTTTCTCCCACCTCAGCGCCGCCACCTCCTCCTCCGGCCAGTCCCACAGCAGCTCCCTGGTCTCCAGATAGCCTGGCCTGAGCCCTGCAGGGCAGCCCACTCGCCTACCGTGTCCTCAAGTGTCTACAGCCAGAAGCCAGCTTGCTGCATCACCTGGGACCATGTGGGCCACAGCCCAGGTCTGGATGCTGCTGAAGTCAGGGTGTCTGGAGCTGACAGCAATGATCCAGCTCGTGGCCTGAGTGTGGTGGGACCCTCTAAGTCAGGACCATCTCCTTTGTGCTTGGTGTAAGGAAAAGCCAAGGAGTGGGTGGACCGCCTTCAGGTCTGCCTGGTCTGGCGGCTCAGGGATGTCAGGAGCTCAGCCCCCTTTACTCTCTGCCTCTGCCTTCCCTGGGATAGCCTCCTTCTCAGGTGCCTTCTGCATTGCCACGAGACTCCTTCCCTCTTTCCTCCCAGCTCAGCTCCAGAAGAGAGCTTCCTTCTCCCAAAGTTCCTCCAACCTCCCAGAATTGAGTCTGATCCGGCTGCCCAGGTCCCATGCTGGTCCCTGAACCAATCAAGGTTGCCAGGGAAATGAAGAACACTGGCCAGCAGGGTTCTGGTTCCAATCTGGACCAGTCACTGAGTGGGAAGGGGGTGGGTACAGTGATTGGCCAGCCTGGACCCCACGCTTATCCCTGGAGCCAACCACCTGGCCTAAAAAGCACAAGGGGCCTCTAGGAATAGTAGGGTCCCCCAAGAAGAGGAGGAAAGAACACTGGACAAGCAGAAATGACAGGTGTTCACCACAGCATCTGATTCCATAGCGATGCCCTGTGTTCTAAGACCAGTACTGTGAGCAATTATATGAGTTACAGGCTTTGCACCCTGGACTTGAAGTCCATTTTCCTAGCACTTGGCTGGGAAAACCTCCCCCTGACCAGCCCTAACTTGAAGAGGGTGGGAAGGTGCAGGGCTACTGTTAAGTTTCAGGCTGTGATGAGATGGCTCCTCTGGAGGTCACTTTCTCTCCTGGGAGCTCTTTTATTATGAATTTTTTGGTTATAAGTTATGGAGACCCACATAAAAGGTAACCATTCACGGGCACAGGTAACTGGCCCAGAGTCCTGCATGGGAGAGTTTTGTATATCCTTGGGCCTGGGGACATTTCTCTTTTCCTTTCCTGGGCCTCCAAAAAGACAACAGGTCACCAAATGGCAGCCTATAGACTGATCTGGCCTGCCTTTAGT